CCGGAGACGCTGTTCCAGATGACAATAATCAGGGCCCCAGAGAGCCATTGCTCTCTCTTATAGCTGCTCATTGTCACCAGATATATATATATATATAATGGCGAACAGAAACAACCCCCAGTAATTTGATGACATGTGGGGCTTTAGCAAAAACAGTGTGAGGACAGAGTATAGTGTGTACCCCTCTTGTAGTAGTGCAACCCGTTCTCGCACTTTCTTAGTCAATATTGACTTATTAAATACGTGCATATGTGACATACTAATTGACTGTGAATATTTTAGTTTACCTTGAAAAACTTCACAGAAAACACCTTCACCTCACCTTCTTAGTATGTTAAGATAAGCATCTTATTGCTTCGTAATTACAATTATTACTTAACCTATACCTATAATAGGTTAAGTAATAATTGTAATTACGAAGCAATAAGATGCTTACCTTAACATACTAATAAGGTTAGGTAGGATCGGTGTTTTCTATGAAGCTTTCAAAGGTAAACTAGTATGTTTAGTATGTCACATATACACGTATTTAATAAGTCAATATTGACTGTAAGAAAGTGCGAGAACGGGTTGAGTAGTGGTGTGGTATAGTTGTCACCCATCATCTTCTCCATCACTATCACCACCGTCATGATCACTATCATCACCATCTTCACCATCATTTTGTTTGGTTTGATTTTAAGTCTTATCCCCCCTAAAAGAGTGTTGTAAATTTCCTAATATACCATGCCAGGTGACGCTAAATATAGTCTTCCAGGATTGGTGCTGCCTTCTGATAACTTTTTTTTTTAAATGTCCATCAACCAGTGAAGAGGTTTGAGAATGTACACTGCTGCTGTCACCGCTGTTGTCACCGCTGTTGTCACCGCTGTTGTCACCGCTGCTGTCACCGCTGTTGTCACCGCCAGCATCATGATCATTCATCTCGTCCTTCACAGCATCACGTCTTCCAAGGCTCCGTGGACCAATTGTTCCGGCCCGCTTGTTCACCGGGGCTGCCTCCTCCTCCTCCTCCTCCTTCCAAACTTGCGAGTTTCCTGAAGTATATGTCACAAGGTGCTTTCAACGCTCTTCCCCCCCCCTCCCCCCCTTCCCCCCTCCTTCCCCCCTCCCCCCCCCCCCCCTCCACTACCCCTCCGTGTTTTACAATGTCTTCCGTGTGTTTTACTTCCGTTTTTTTTTTTTTTTTTTTTTTTTTTGCTTTTATGCGGTTGCGACTCAGATTTGTTTACTCTTTTGAGCTCTTCTTCTGTTTGTTTTCGTATGTGTGCTTGTTTGTCCGACAGCTTTGTCTGACACCATCTGTTCCATCATCTGTTGTTTCGCCCAACCACTTGGGCTGGACGGTAGAGCGATGGTCTCGCTGCATGCAGGTCGGCGTTCAATCCCCGATTATCCAAGTGGTTGGGCACCATTCCTTCCCCTCGTCCCATCGCAAATCCTTATGCTGGCCCCCCTTCCAGGCGCTATATAGTCGCTATAGTTTGACGCTTTCTCCTGACAATCCTCCCCTTCCTCTGTTGTCAGTTTGGTCTAGTCTTGTCCCCTCTGGTGTCATTCTTCCTGTTGGGGAAGCGGGCGCCTTCAACTGCTTTACTTCGGTGGCGGAGAAATTATTAATAATTCTCTCCATCTCTTACACCCAGTGCCACACCCTCACCCCGCCTGCGCCACGCCGTCCTTATAACTAGAGCGGAAAGCGCAGGTCGGCCGCAATGCCGCAAGAATTAACAAAGGCGGTTAGCGGAGAAAGAAAATTAAAGTTTTTTATATATCGTGTTAAACTGTACCGAGCGGAGCAGCTCGGGTTACTCTTCGAACTCTTCGCCTCGTCTCCGTTTTCTGTCTCTTTTGGCGGGAAAAGAAATGAGCTGAAACCTCACCGACTTCGATGTTATTGGTGGGTATTGATTGCGCGTTCGTTGGCTTGAAAAATATATACGAATATTAAACTTTTATTCTTGGCGTTGCGACATGGGTTATTGACTAATGTCGGGGCTTCTGACGTGGCTTAGTGGCCATGGTTTTGGATTCTTTTATGGCTTAATGCCTCAGTCTTGGAATGCCAGCTCGTCTTGCTATAGTGTCCTTGCGTAATTCTTCATAAGGAGAGGATGTTCTTGCGAAGCTCATACACACGGACAAGTACAGGGAGAGGTGTATTTTGTTTCTCGTATATACACAGACAGTTTATTTTTAGTACGTGACTCTGTTTAGTACTAAAGTATACTTGCTGCTTGGTCTGTGAGCTATTGTGATAAGCCTTAATAACCCTCCGGAGGTTGATAGGCTTCAATAATCAAAAAGGAGGCCTGGTTGAAGACCGGGCCGCGGGGGACGCTAAGCCCCGAAATCATCTCAAGATAACCCCTTCGAGTAGCAGTCTGTATAGACAAAGAAATATACTAACACAGCTCTTGGGGAAAATAGTGACAGCACAACTCCGAGATATTTAGTTGCGGCAGAAGTCCATAAAGTGGTGAATGCTGAGAAATATGCGTTATCAAAAACCATAAAAAAAATAATGAAAGTTCTTTCTGAAAGAGCAAGAAATTTCACCCGTGACTGATCAAATCGGGATGTACGTGTTACTTTTCCAGTTTGGTCATTTGCAGTGCATAAATGTCTGAGGAAATATTTCCGCAAAACTAAATCTCTAAAATAGGAGAGATAGACAATGGTGGCAGTCTATCACCACCAAGTGATACGGTTTGATAAAATAAAAGTTGTTCTTGTACTGGAGATAGCAGTGTTGGAACGTAATTGAATTTATCACTTAGAGAGTAGTAGCTTGTTCTACTGTATGCAGACGAGGAGTCACAATAACGTGGCTGAAATCTGTTGACCAAACCACATACTAGATAGTGAAGGGACGACGACGTTTCGGACCATTCACAAGTCGATTGAGTCGATCAATCGACTTGAGAATGGTCCAGGACGGACCGAAACGTCGTCGTCCCTTCCACTTTCTAGTATGTGGTTTGGTCAACGTGTTCTCCTGTATTTCGACACTGCAAAAGGAAGTAGAAATCTAGAGGTGTATTACTAGCACAGGTGAACTAGCAAGTGGTGGTGTTAACAAGAGGGGTGCGATATACGGGGTGTCATCGAGGCCTTGGTGAAATGCATCGTTTGGTAATGTTGGTGTGGTAATGGTCGTTATGTGAGTGACGGAATAATTTGCATTGTTTGTTGTGGTGGTCAAGCTATAGGGAGGGGGAGGGAGGGGGAAGGGAGGGGGAGGGAGGGAGGGAGGGGGAAGGCAGGCAGGCAGGCAGGCAGGCAGGCAGGCAGGCAGGCAGACACAGACACAGACACAGACACAGACACACACACACACATAAATGAACCACCATAGAATGGATTAGAAGATAATTACTCGTACGTTCGAATGGTGGGGATTGGGAGCTGAGCCTCGATCGTCGGTATTTCACTGGTGTTGAGGCTAGTGTTAGAAGTGGGTACTAGAAAACTCTCTCCAGAGCTTGATGCTTGATCTAAATTATAATGAATGAGCGAGTACGGTGAGCCTAGTGCCTGAAGAACCTGCCCTCGGGAATAACACACCACATTTTGACGTCAACATCCCTTACGGATGCAGGCGATGAGTCACAATAACGTGGCTGAAGTATGTTGACCAGACCACACACTAGAAATTGAAGGGACGACGACGTTTCGGTCCATTCTGGACCATTCTCAAGTCGATTGTGACACATGACACATGTGTCCCCTACGGACACATGGAGGGTACTACAAATCATAGATGCTCACAAACACTTACGTTTTCTATGCGCGGGGCGATAGGTTAGGTTAGCAACCTGTCCTCTTACTAAGAACGTCGTTTTTCCCTCGCATGCGTTACTTAAAAGGGAAAATGGCAAAAAAATGACATTTCCCAGGCCAAAAATTGTCGTACTGGAAAATGGAAGCGGCTGCCGAAAGTGACGTACTGTCCCGTTTTCTGTTTGGGGTCCTCTGGAAAGTTAGGAGAGACAACTTTAAATTAGCCGTTTTCTTGACGCTGGGAAACCTTAGGAGGACGGGCTGAGATTCGATCGTTTTTAATACACCATTTTCTGACCGTTGTGCCACCTCGAGACGACAGACTGATCAATTAACCACCCCGTCCACTCGAAATGCCCCAACAGACAGAAAATGTGTTAAAACGCTCGAACCTAACCTGACCTATTAATACTGATTCTCCCGTAGCGAGTAGTGTTGGCCAGTAGTGGTGGCGCTGAAGGAGGGCAGTGGGGCCGAGGTCAGTGGGGGGGGGGTGATGTAGGTGGGGTTGGGGGGGGTGGAGGGATGTGTACTACACAACAGGGTCCAGCAAACACTCCCTCCTTTCCCCCCACATCAACCCCCGCGACCACCCGACCCCCACTCCGCTCAGAGGTACTACCAACAAAGCCAATTGGAAACTATTGACATAACTGTGAGCAAGTTGAGGCGAGCAGGAGCGCGAGCTCGCGCATGTGCGTGATCTCTCCCCTTGAGGAATACACGCATTCCCCCCCCCCCTCCCCATTGTCCGTGCGCGAACAGCGGTGACTTACAGTGACTGACAGTGTGACACACTAAGGCGTAGAAGTAGGGGGTCACACTTGCCTTCAAAGTAATTCTCTAATCTTTCTTATCACCACCTCTATCTCACCTTCCACTCTTCGTATGGGAACTGTAAATGAGAAGAGAAGAGAAGAGGGGGTAAGAGAGGTGGAGAAGTGGCTAGCCAATGTAGAGAAACTCTAAACTCTATTGTTTATACACGACTTTTTTCCTCTCTCTCACGTATGGTTGGTTACCTGTGTGTGTCTGCACCCTACCTCCTCTTGTCTGCCTCTGCTCCTACCCCCGGTCCTGTCTGCCTCTGCTCCTACCCCCGGTCCTGTCTGCCTCTGCTCCTACCCCTGTCCTGTCTGCCTCTGCCCCGGCCGTGTCTGTTCCCATCCAGAGTCTGCGGTGGACGTGTGTACGATTAATCTTTCCTCTTGACTTGATCAAGACGGTCTTAAATATATGTCTGCTTTCACGCGGGCTTGTTCGCTCGAGCTTGTCTTTTGTGCCATCATGCTGCTTGGGCAGTCTGCTGTCATGCTGCTTGGGCAGTCTGCTGTCATGCTGCTTGGGCAGTCTGCTGTCATGCTGCTTGGGCAGTCTGCTGTCATGCTGCTTGGGCAGTCTGCTGTCATGCTGCTTGGGCAGTCTGCCGCCATGCTGCTTGGGCAGTCTGCCGCCATGCTGCTTGGGCAGTCTGCCGCCATGCTGCTTGGGCAGTCTGCCGCCATGCTGCTTGGGCAGTCTGCCGCCATGCTGCTTGGGCAGTCTGCCGCCATGCTGCTTGGGCAGTCTGCCGCCATGCTGCTTGGGCAGTCTGCTGTCATGCTGCTTGGGCAGTCTGCTGTCATGCTGCTTGGGCAGTCTGCTGTCATGCTGCTTGGGCAGTCTGCTGTCATGCTGCTTGGGCAGTCTGCTGTCATGCTGCTTGGGCAGTCTGCCGCCATGCTGCTTGGGCAGTCTGCCGCCATGCTGCTTGGGCAGTCTGCCGCCATGCTGCTTGGGCAGTCTGCCGCCATGCTGCTTGGGCAGTCTGCCGCCATGCTGCTTGGGCAGTCTGCCGCCATGCTGCTTGGGCAGTCTGCCGCCATGCTGCTTGGGCAGTCTGCCGCCATGCTGCTTGGGCAGTCTGCCGCCATGCTGCTTGGGCAGTCTGCCGCCATGCTGCTTGGGCAGTCTGCCGCCATGCTGCTTGGGCAGTCTGCCGCCATGCTGCTTGGGCAGTCTGCCGCCATGCTGCTTGGGCAGTCTGCCGCCATGCTGCTTGGGCAGTCTGCCGCCATGCTGCTTGGGCAGTCTGCCGCCATGCTGCTTGGGCAGTCTGCCGCCATGCTGCTTGGGCAGTCTGCCGCCATGCTGCTTGGGCAGTCTGCCGCCATGCTGCTTGGGCAGTCTGCCGCCATGCTGCTTGGGCAGTCTGCCGCCATGCTGCTTGGGCAGTCTGCCGCCATGCTGCTTGGGCAGTCTGCTGTCATGTAATATAGCATTAATTTATTTATTGTTGTGTTCTAACTTATATTGTTAATCTAAGGAAGCGTCAATATTGTTTTAATTTCAGCTTCTCTTCTAGAAAAAAGGATACGGGATAGACTAAAAGTCTTCATTCAGTACCAACTATCAAGCTTTTACGGGTCCAGAAAAATTAAATAATCAAGCTCTTCTTGTCTCTCTCTCTGGAGGGAGAGAAAGTTGTAGATGAAGCAGTAGTAGGAATAATAGCATCAATTATATTAATAATTATATTTAATAATTCTTGCCATAAATATTAAACAATGTCAAACTTGACATAAAATTGTCCTCACCTGTTGTCCTGTGACGTCACTCCCGCCGATCACGTGATCTGGAAAGGTGAAAACATTTTGGTTTAAGTTAAAAGTAATTATTCCATTTATTCTAATTTACATTTTTTAGTAATGAAATATTATTATTTTTATGAAGTATCTTGAGGTTATCTTGATTTGATTTCGGGGCTTTAGTATCTCCGCGGCCCGGTCCTCGACCAAGCCTCTACCCACAGGAAGCAGTCCGTGACAGCTGACTAACTCGCAGGTACTTATTTACTGCTAGGTAACAGGGGCATAGGGTGAAAAAAACCTCTGCCCATCGTTTATTTTATCACATCGGTATTATATATTTACCGGAGAGAATGATAGAGAACTCTGTGACTGCGTTACCAGACTGCTGGCGACGTTTAGAATTCCTCATGGCGACCGATTCGCTGGTTAATGTCTGCTTCAAATGAAATTTTATTATTTTCAATTACGTTTGAAAGCCGCGCGGAAAAGTGAGGTCGCGAATAAAATGATTTTGCATCGCGTGTCGCAGCCCCACACGCGCGAAATTGATAGCAGTAAACTATTACCGAAAATGGACATTAAACTAAGAATTAGCAATGACTGGGCCTTGTGACAGCCAAGAATGATCTCTCCAAAGTGTTGGGGGGGGGGGGCAAGAAATAAATCATTGATTTGCCGGAAACTATTTTGTACAAATTCGCTTGTAATCCATTACAGAAATTGTAGTCTTTTTGGGTAATGGAATTGAGAAAATTGATAAATAATTGTAAAATAAATTGGAGTGTAATCGAAGTATATTATTAATAGAAAATGGTATTTTAATCGGTTTATTTTCTGGGGGATTTGTGGGTTTCCATGGGTGGATTTAAGAGCCGTCCGTGTTAGAGGGGGGATTAACTGGTTTCCAAGTTGAGGATTAATGGATTAATCTCTCAAGTGGAGATTAATGGTTTACCGGAACCAGACTTAACAGGTGAGGCGCGGTCCTACTGCTAATCCCCCAGTAGTGACTCCTGCAAATCCCCAGTAGTGACTTGGTAATCCCTAGCAGTTACTCATGGGGTGTTAGTTGTGGAGTGGGGTGCGTGAGGGGGGTGTGGAGTGGGGTGCGTGAGGGAGGGGTGGAGTGGGGTGCGTGAGGGAGGGGTGGAGTGGGGTGCGTGAGGGAGGGGTGGAGTGGGGTGCGTGAGGGGAGTGTGGACTGGGGTGCGTGAGGGAGGGGTGGAGTGGGGTGCGTGAGGGAGGGGTGGAGTGGGGTGCGTGAGGGAGGGGTGGAGTGGGGTGCGTGAGGGGAGTGTGGAGTGGGGTGCGTGAGGGGAGTGTGGAGTGGGGTGCGTGAGGGGAGTGTGGAGTGGGGTGCGTGAGGGAGGGGTGGAGTGGGGTGCGTGAGGGAGGGAGGGGTGGAGTGGGGTGCGTGAGGGAGGGAGGGAGGGGTGGAGTGGGGTGCGTGAGGGAGGGAGGGAGGGGTGGAGTGGGGTGCGTGAGGGAGGGAGGGAGGGGTGGAGTGGGGTGCGTGAGGGAGGGAGGGAGGGGTGGAGTGGGGTGCGTGAGGGAGGGAGGGAGGGGTGGAGTGGGGTGCGTGAGGGAGGGAGGGAGGGGTGGAGTGGGGTGCGTGAGGGAGGGAGGGAGGGGTGGAGTGGGGTGCGTGAGGGAGGGAGGGAGGGGTGGAGTGGGGTGCGTGAGGGAGGGAGGGAGGGGTGGAGTGGGGTGCGTGAGGGAGGGAGGGAGGGGTGGAGTGGGGTGCGTGAGGGAGGGAGGGGTGGAGTGGGGTGCGTGAGGGTAGAGATAAAGATGAACAAGGGTTCAACGTTATCACCCGGAGGACAATAACAGACGTCTTTACAAATCCTGAACATAACACTAATTACCTCCAAGAAATTACAACGTCGTTTACAATTACGCGCGCGCGTGCGCTTGTTCGCGGGTGTGTGTGTGTGTGTACTCACCTAGTTGTGCTTGCGGGGGTTGAGCTCTGGCTCTTTGGTCCCGCCTCTCAACTGTCAATCAACTGGTGTACAGATTCCTAAGCCTACTGGGCTCTATCATATCTACATTTGAAACTGTGTATGGAGTCAGCCTCCACCACATCACTGCCTAATGCATTCCGTTTGCTAACTACTCTGACACTGAAAAAATTCTTTCTAATGTCTGTGTGGCTCATTTGGGTACTCAGCTTCCACCTGTGTCCCCTAGTGCGTGTACCATTTGTGTTAAATAATCCATCCTTGTCTACCCCTGTCAATTCCCCTGATAATTTTCTATGTGGTGATCACGTCTCCCAGAGCTCTTCTATCTTCCAGCTACGTGAGGTGCCGTTCACGCAGCCTTTCCTCATAACTCATGCCTCTTAGATCTGGGACTAGCCTAGTGGCAAATCTCTGAACTTTTTCCTGCTTCGTCTTGTGCTTGACAAGTACGGGCCCCATGCCACTGTTCATTTAGCCGGTCCAACCACTATTGTTCACAGCTCAACCAATGAGCCGAGAGGGCTTCCTCACGTGACTAAACAGTTCCACGTACAGCGCGTCTCGTTTCTAGAGCGACACGCAGTTGTGATCGACTGGGCTCCTTGCTGGTATTCAGTTAACATAATTTCCGTCCCAGAACAGCCTTTTTTTAACACGTGCAGTGGTGCTTCGTTACAGCAGAGGTCTCCAGAGCACCTGTATGATACAGCGGAGCGGATACAGCCGGTTGTATTACAAGACAATGCTGGGAGATAGTGGGGGTCTGTGGAGGACTTGGCAGAGTTCACAGGCCGGGAGGAGTGACAGGCGAAGCGGTCCAAGTGACGGCCACATCCTTCAAGAAAACGCCATCGGTACCTCATCACCGGTACCTCAGGGGAGTAGAAATAGCCTATGCTACTCTATCCCTTTGAGATGTATATCTTTCTTATCTAAATAAACATACTTGAACTAGCTCCCCTCCCCCAACCTTTTTAATAATCAATCTCTGTGGTCATCAGAAACGTCGTAATTCAACCGATAAGAACACCACCTCCTGTCCAGAGGGCTGGTCAGCGCCCCTGCTCTCATTCTGAGCGCCTGAGACAGTCCCGAGTCTGCGCGGTGACTTGCTTGCCTGTAGGTCACGACTTCAAACAAAATAAAAACAAAAATCTCAATTTCTTCCTATACTTCACCCGAAGCATTTAGCAACGTATGAGGGAGCAACGAGCCAGTCAGCATTTCCTCGGTGCTCCAGAGTGATGGCAAAGCACTGACACACACTTGCAAAAATAACATATGTAAAGTTGCCTGGAAAGTGCATGGTGGAGAGGTACTGGTGGCGAGGTACCGGTTCAAGTATGTGTATTGAGATAAGCAACAAATACATCTCAAAGGGATAGAGTAGCTTAGGCTATTTCTACCCTCTAAGGGAGCTTATTTCTTCCCAGAAAAGACGTTCTGGTGCTTCATAACTCTATCATAACAGTGCAGATGTCGTGTGAGAACAGGGCTGCCTAAACCCTGCCTCGCGAATAGAACATTGTTCTGTAGTCAACATCCCTCCTAGTTGACGCCGATGCTATTGCGATCAGGCAGTGTGTCTTTAGGTGCACTTTAAGACACCACCATCAAGCAACGCTGTTCTACGAGAATTTGCGAGTACAGACAAGAAGTCTTGGGTACCACCGTCACCCTAACTACGTGAGGGAGGGGGAGGGGGGTTAGTAATTGGTGCTAGCAGTAATTCTGCCTTAAACGGCAATTTACGGGTCCCGGACGAGCGTGGTTGTGTGACCCGTAGCATGGATAACAAGTGAGAAGGGCAAGCGTCTTATAACGGACCGAGGTGAGGTCTGGGGGGGGGGGGTCCTTGTGTGACCGTCTTGCACCGCTGACTACCCGAGCTTAGTGGTCCGGGCGACGGTCCGGGCGACGGTCCGGGCGACGGTCCGGGCGACGGTCCGGGCGACGGTCCGGGCGACGGTCCGGGCGACGGTCCGGGCGACGGTCCGGGCGACGGTCCGGGCGGCGGGTCGGGGCGCTACGGAGGCCAAGTGAGAGGTAATTGACTAAGCTGAGTAAGCTTCTATTCAGGAGAGTAATGTAAGTTATCTTAACTGTCTTGTACAACATACATCCTTATCTGTTAACCTGGCCGATGGTTTAATAAACATACACGCAACCGCCTTGCGAAACCTGTACATCTTTCATTATCAGGGCGACTGTATTTACATATCTTAAATAGTTGACAAGCTTTAAAACTTCACAACTCAAGCTTATTATTGTTTTAAACAACCTAATATTGCTTCGAAGCTTGTTAATTGTTAAATGTAAACAAATCAGCTACCAAGGAAAGATGTACAGGTTTCGTAAATAGCTGTTTCGTAAGTAACTTGATACAGCGTAAGGAAGATAGTACCTTCAGATAGCCTAAGGGAAGATAGCTGAGGCTGCCTTCTCTTGAGGTTATCTTGAGATGATTTCGGGCTTTTTAGTGTCCCCGCGGCCCGGTCTTCGACCAGGCCTCCACCCCCAGGAAGCAGCCCGTGACAGCTGACTAACACCCAGGTACCTATTTTACTGCTAGGTAACAGGGGCATAGGGTGAAAGAAACTCTGCCCATTGTTTCTCGCCGGCGCCTGGGATCGAACCCAGGACCACAGGATCACAAGTCCAGCGTGCTGTCCGCTCGGCCGACCGGCTCCGACCGGCCCTCCATCCATAGTTACAACAGATATATGAGAACAAAACAAAAGGGGTTTGGGAGTCATTGTATCAGACTCATATCAAGAGGCAGAAGTACTCGCCACGGTCGGAACTCCTACACCACCACCACAAACCGGGTCCGAGACGGTAGGTACACCAGCCAACATCCGCCCCAGTGACCGTCACACAACGACGTTGGTGTCTTAGATTCAGCTACTTGGAACAAAAAGTTACAAGTAGCACGAGCTATGGTGAGCCCGTAGTGGACTTACCTGCCACAGGAGCGGGGCTGTAACAAGTAGCACGGGCTATGGTGAGCCCGTAGTTTGGTGCCACCAGTGTGGCGGTGGAGCCTCCCGGTGGAAGAGGGTATAGTTTATTATTATTAACATCTTTATTGACAAAATTAATTACAATTTTGCCTAATCTGAGGATTTCGATAGTCTTATTAAATTGAGGTTAATGCTGGTATTCACTGTCACGCAGGACAGAGGGTCATACATAAGACAATAGGTCTAAACTGTAGGCTGAAGCACATATATATCATGGTTACAATCAATGTTTTAATGTGTGGATATGTGAAAACAAGAGGGTATAGTGGCCTAAAAGGCAGCTTGAGATCCTTTGGTGAAATAATTATTGATGGAAGAGAGACAAGGGAAAGTTCTGTGTTCATAAAAGTTGTTTATGAAGTCTAATAAGGCTATTTATGACGTATATTCACTTGTATATCCGTACGTTCTAATACATTTTGTATTCTTAATTTTAAGGCATCAGTCTTGGACTGGGTTCACACACGCTGAACTTCAGCCGTGTTGAATGCTTAATGACTGGCTCCTCTGGCGATGACTGGCATAATTAGAGGTTAAACAATTCGGTAGAACACGATCTCAAATTTATATTTGAGGACGATGAAGGTGGAAGTCGAATAACTGTGTTTGACGACTGTGATGGTGCATGGTTCTGAACTGTGTTTGACGACTGTGATGGTGCATGGTTCTAAACTGTGTTTGACGACTGTGATTGTGCATGGTTCTAAACTGTGTTTGACGACTGTGATGGTGCATGGTTCTAAACTGTGTTTGACGACTGTGATTGTGCATGGTTCTAAACTGTGTTTGACGACTGTGATTGTGCATGGTTCTAAACTGTGTTTGACGACTGTGATGGTGCATGGTTCTAAACTGTGTTTGACGACTGTGATGGTGCATGGTTCTAAACTGTGTTTGACGACTGTGATGGTGCATGGTTCTAAACTGTGTTTGACGACTGTGATTGTGCATGGTTCTGAACTGTGTTTGACGACTGTGATTGTGCATGGTTGTAAACTGTGTTTGACGACTGTGATTGTGCATGGTTCTGAACTGTGTTTGACGACTGTGATTGTGCATGGTTCTAAACTGTGTTTGACGACTGTGATGGTGCATGGTTCTAAACTGTGTTTGACGACTGTGATTGTGCATGGTTCTGAACTGTGTTTGACGACTGT